GGCAGCGCACGTGTAGTCCCATACCACTTGCTTACCATCCTTCCAAGGTAGCAAGGTGACCCCATCAGGGCGCTTCTGAGGGTCGTTAGGTCTGGATAAGTGTGGTTCTCTTTATATATATATCCTTATATATCTTTCCTATATATATATATATATATATATATATATATATATATATATATATATATATATGAGAACAAGCCTGAATGGTCCCCAGGACTATATGCGACTTCAGTCATATATATATATATATATATATATATATATATATATATATATATATATATATATATATATATATATATATATATATATATATATATATATATATATGCAGGCGATGAGTCACAATAACGTGGCTAAAGTATGTTGACCAGACCACACACTAGAATGTGAAGGGACGACGACGTTTCGGTCCGTCCTGGACCATTCTCACAATCGACTTGAGAATGGTCCAGGACGGACCGAAACGTCGTCGTCCCTTCACATTCTAGTGTGTGGTCTGGTCATCATACTTATATATATTTTTTTCTTACCTAGAAGGGGTACCACCTCTGGTGCAAGTGTAGGGACCCATAGCCTCGGAGAAGAAAATAAAGAGTACTCAGAGAAGACCTTGTGGATCCTCACTGAACACTTTGATATTTTCTTCTCCTACCACCCCTATTCTTTTGGTATGTGTGTATATTTATCTAACTTTATTTGAAAATGTCATTACACAAAAAAAGTTACAATATTGATTACATGCAGGGTACAAGGCTGCTTGTCACAAGTTGAACAGCTCCTCCAGCTCCTCAGATGGCGGGCAGGAACCGTGGATGCAGTGAGCATTTCCTCTTTGGATTACCACACTAAGGCGCTGAAAGAGAAAACTGGCAGCTCTAGGGTCTCTAGTTGTTTCGATTAGCTTAGACCCCAACTCCTTCAAAAAGCTAGCAGCACTTTTACCCCAGGCACCAAGTGTCTCTGAGGCAATGGGGACAAAATTGTAGTGGTGCTCGAGGTCTCTGTATTTACGTGACTTGGCCGCTTCCCGGTGATTGGCACCGGGCTGCTTCCCCGAATTTATGAGTATATATATTTATTTATATATATTTAGACATTGGTATTTTTCTTATTATAAAAATTTATTATTATTATTATTATTGCTATTTTTTATTATAATCTCTATTATAATTATAGTATTATATATAATTTTAGACGAATTATTTTGAGGTTATTTTAGACATTTATATTTGTTATTATTATATATATTTAGACATTTATATTTTTTTATTATATACATTTAGACATTGATATTATTGTATTATTTTAGACTGATATTAATGTGCTTTTTAGACATTGTTATAATTATTAAGCTTTTTTTAGGCATTGGTATTGAGTAAATTTTTGTCCACATTAATATTTTTAATATATTTTTAGACATTGATATTATTATTGGTTTACGTTCCAAGAGTCAGCCAATTCGGCTGTTACAAACTAGAACTGCGTTTTTTTTTTTTTTTGCTGGGATATTCGTGCGCGGGCCCTAAGCCTCTGGCTGGCCCACTAAGTGTTGCTTGTTTCTGTTTTACTTGGGCGGAGTATGAGTATTTATGACTCGTATGGTCGCCTCAGTAAGATTTTGAGAACTGCGGTGTTTTCTGTAGCTGTGTGTGTGTGTGTGTAATTCATTACGTGTTTGTGTTATTGATTATTTGTTAAAAAGATATATGAGAAAGTAAAACTGCGGCTGTGTTGCCGCTCTGTTGCTAAAACGGGTTCCATGATATTTTTTGTATATGTCCTTGATTTATGAGTTTCAAAATTGCTGTCTGTGCAAGTGGAACATTTGTCTAGTAGTCACATGTGGTTCGAGAGAGAGGGGTGGAGAGGGAGATGGGAAAAAAGGGGAAGAAAGGGTGGAAATAGGGTAAGAAACCCAAGTGCAGCCGGGTACCCCTTTCTAAACGTTTATATAAAACTGGTCTGAGGTATGGGACCAACATAGGCTAGTCGGAGTCGGCCACGCTAAGTATACTAAGAAATATTACCATTGACAGAGATGCTAAACACCCTCCCGCCCCCCTCTCTCCCTCAATCACTCCATCAATCCCGTCACCCATTCTGATGGAATAGGACCAAAGATATCAATAATATTTGGCAAATTGTCAGCTCTGGCGGTGGTGCGCGCGGCGCGGATGCCAAGAATTTATTTTCTTTGCGCTCTATGGTGAGTTGTTGGGTTATCCCGACCAAATAGCATTGCGAACGACTCTCATTCTTTGATCAGCGTGCGTTGTCAGGGGCGCCATTGATCGTCCCACTAGCCTGGCTCCATTGATGCAAAGCTTTGCCTCCCTCCCATTTCTTTTTGTCTATGGGCGATGAGGTCTTGTTGGTTTCAGTTAGCGATAATTATAGATAGTAGTAAATCAGTGGTTTACTATACAGTTTACATTTGTAAACCCTGGGTAAGAGATCTGGACAAGTTTACAGAATTAGGGGGACGTATGAATAGTTCCTCGCTCAGCTGAGTTATCTAGGAAATTGCATATAAAAGACTATCATTTTTTGGAAGCATCGTATTTGACGGTTGGTGTGAGGTTGCCAGAGGTGTGCATGTCGTTGCATCCTCTTCTCAAATTCAAATTCAAATTCAAAGTTTTATTCAGGTAAAAGTATGTACATAGATGATGAATTACAAACATAATGTTGGATATATAGATAGAGCTAGTATATACAGTACCTAAGGCCATTAATACGCATAGCGTTTTGGACAAGCGTCTCATTTTGGGGGATTTGATTATAGATCTTAATGTGCACAAGATGTTCTATGATACTAAGTCAAGCTTTAAAGGAGAGTGGCGCATACCTAAGTCATGGCAATTCAGTGATTTGGGATATGATACGTTTGTGGAAAATTACAAAGAAACTGTGGAGTGGCAATCTATCATTACAGATTGCCAAAGTTATTTGCTTGATTTGTTATCGTTGATGCTTTAGTTTGAGAATGTTTCCAACCCTCTTAACTTAATACGTTGTATATATATATATTGACGCGTTCGGCGTTATGAGTTACATTCGCTTTGTACACTGAGGGAACATAAAATTATTTTACCATGTTAAAGAAACTGGCAACTGCATCACGGCGAGCCGGATTACCCCCGTTCCTTTTATTCCTCCGCGAAACAAATAAATCCCTTGTGAGGTACCACTTGGATTTTTATTTGGTATTTCAGACAAGTTCAAACATCTAAGTTGTCAAGTTAGCTAAGTTCCGGTATAGAATGATGCAAAAATGTTCTTGGTTAGGTCTTTTAGTATTGAACTGTTCATATTGTTTGGGTTTGAGTACGCTGAAGTAAACACCTTCAAATTCAAATTCAAATCTTTATATGTACCTAAATAAAAATTTAAATTTGAATTTGAAGGTGTTTGTTTCCCTCCGCGAGTCACTATAGTTGTGTTCCTGGAGTTTGTTGTGGCGTTACTATAGTAGTAGTTAATAGTAGTTGTAGTTAATGGTAGTTGTAGTTAATGGTAGTAGTGATAGTTATATAAGAGACTGGTAGTAATTAAGGGTAGGAATAGTAGCAAAGAAACATATATATAGTGATGAAGATGAGTACCACAAGCTCCAGTGGCAAGGAAACACAATCTTTTACTTATAGGACATATATATGTATATATATATATATGTCGTACCTAGTAGCCAGAACGCATTTCTCAGCCTACTATGCAAGGCCTGATTTGTCTAATAAGCCAAGTTTTCATGAATTAATTGTTTTTCGACTACCTAACCTACCTAACCTAACCTAACTTAACTTTTTCGGCTACCTAACGTAACCTAACCTATAAAGATAGGTTAGGTTAGGTTAGGTAGGGTTGGTTAGGTTCGGTCATATATCTACGTTAATTTTAACTCCAATAAAAAAAATTTACCTCACACATAATGAAATGGGTAGCTTTATCATTTCATAAGAAAAAAATTATAGAAAATATATTAATTCAGGAAAACTTGGCTTATTAAGCAAATTGGGCCTTGCATAGTAGGCTGAGAAGTGCGTTCTGGCTACTAGGTACGACATATATATATATATATATATATATATATATATATATATATATATATATATATATATATATATATATATATATATATATATATATATATATATATATATATATATATATATATATATATATATATATATAAAAGTTTGTGAGGGTACCACCTCTGGTGCCAATGTGGGGACCCATACCCTCGGAGAAGAAAATAAAAAGTATTCAGAGGAGACCTTGTGGTTTCTCACTGAACACTAATATTATCTTCTACCACCCCCAATATATATATATATATATATATATATATATATATATATATATATATATATATATATATATATATATATACAACTTATAGGACATATTTATATATAAAAGAGTTCTTACATGGTTGTAAAGCCACTAGCACGCGTAGCGTATCGGGCAGAAAAGAAGTACTCTTTACTGAGTGAAGCTCCGGTCTGTCTTATAAGAAACTCCTCCATTACAAAGAACATTTATTGAAACTCGTGGTAAAAAGAGCACAGTCCGCTCCTGTTTGACGCAGCGTGACATTTCTTAAATTATTTTCTTTAGGTTGTGTTTCTTGCCAATAAGAGCTTTTCAGAAAGAAAAAAAAATGGTTTTAGAAAATATTTGATTAAAACTACACATGGATATAATTTCAGCCGCAGCAATACTGGGTGAACTACATTCTCAATAAACCCCCTTGTAACCCCGAATTATCTTTCAGAATGTTCGGTAATATGTTTATTGTTTGTGATATGTGTCTATGTATATATTAACACGATGTACTGAACGGGGTGAGAATAGCTTGAGCTACTTCATCCCTTTCTGTGCATTTTACCACAATAAACGTATTTCAATTTCAATTCCTTGTACCCCCCCCCCCTCCTACTACAGGAGTGGAACACCCTGTACTCGTGTCACTAACACCCTTCACTCTCCTGCAGGAGTGTACTGTAACGCTACTTGGGACACCTTGTACTGCTGGCCGGCGACGCAGGCGGGCAAGACGGCCAAGGAATCTTGTGCTACAGTCTTCAGCGAAGTGCCGGACCTCTTCAACTATCCTGAAGGTGAGGCTCTTCCCTATTTACGACTGAACTGAATGCAACTAATCTAATATATATATATATATATATATATATATATATATATCGATAGATACAGCGATAGCAGGAGACTCGACATCAGCGAGGCACGACACATCAGCGAGGCAGCAGCAGCATCATCAGGACAGAGCTCGGTGGCGGTGTTGCGAGAGCATTGCACTAACTGGCACTCTGGTCCATGCACTAACTGGCACTCTGGTCCATGCACTAACTGGCACTCTGGTCCAAGCTGAAGGAGGATAGGAAAGCTAGAAAAGGCAATCTGGGAGATCGTTCGACCCCCCTTCCCCCCCCCCCAAGCCACCACATCTAACTGGGAAGATTAAGAACTCCGTCCAGCCCAAGTGGTTGGGGGGGGGACAGTGAAGCTTGGTAATTATAGTGTATCTTGCGGATAATACTAAATGACAGTGAAGGATATGGATAATAGTATATCTTGTTGCTGATAACAAGAGCTTGTATATGGGAGGAAGGAGGAGGAGGAGGAGGAATTATCAGGAGAAAGCGCCAAGTCATTAGACTAAGAATGAAGGTAACTACAGAAGGCCTATAGGCCTATAGCACTGGGAAGTTGTTGTTGTTGTTGTTATAGATGCAGCTACTCTCGGAACAAGTTCCAAGTAGCACGGGCTATGGTGAGCCCGTAACTTACCTGGCACAGGAGCGGGGCAAGTAGCACGGGCTATGGTGAGCCCGTAACTTACCTGGCACAGGAGCGGGGCAAGTAGCACGGGCTATGGTGAGCCCGTAACTTACCTGGCACAGGAGCGGGGCAAGTAGCACGGGCTATGGTGAGCCCGTAACTTACCTGGCACAGGAGCGGGGCAAGTAGCACGGGCTATGGTGAGCCCGTAGTGGACTTACCTGGCACAGGAGCGGGGCAAGTAGCACGGGCTATGGTGAGCCCGTAGTGGACTTACCTGGCACAGGAACGGGGTTGTGCCTACACTGGGAAGGGTTGAGGAAGGTAGTCTGTGTTAGAACTAGCACGCGTTACCGTTTAGAGTACCGTATATCTGCGTAGTGCTGCGTAATCCCCCAACAATAACTACAGTAATTACCTCATAACAGCGACCACCGCGTATACATACGCGCTCCGGTTTAAGAGACCATCGCCTCTGCAACTCCACCTTCACATGCGTCTCTCCCTCCCTAAACGCACACAAGTTCAATCTAAATACCCGCTTGGTACTTTTATGTTAACCCCTTCAACAAAGACCCCTGTATAATAACTGTCATACAAATGGTCCACTTAGCTGGCCGCTGCAAGTTTATGATAATTAGATGGATGAGAGGGGACAAACTTCGCTTAAAGAGGGCGCGGAAGCATCACTTTGGTTTGACTCTTGAAGCTTCTGACATGGAATGGAAGACGTAACGTAAAGGGCTGGAGAGGAAAGGGGCTGGAAAGGTGATGGAATATCTTGACGAACGCGCTGGAAAGGTGATGGAATATCTTGACGATGGAGCTGGAAAGGTGATGGAATATCTTGACGAAGGCGCTGGAAAGGTGATAGAATATCTTGACGATGGAGCTGGAAAGGTGATGGAATATCTTGACGAAGGCGCTGGAAAGGTGATGGAATATCTTGACGATGGAGCTGGAAAGGTGATGGAATATATTGACGAAGGAGCTGGAAGGTGATGGAATATCTTGACGAAGGCGCTGGAAAGGTGATGGAATATATTGACGAAGGCGCTGGAAAGGTGATGGAATATCTTGACGAAGGCGCTGGAAAGGTGATGGAATATCTTGACGAAGGCGCTGGGAAGGTGATGGACTGGAAAACGTTAAGGAAACTGGAAAGGAAAGGGGCTTGAAATATAATAGAATTGAAAGTTGAAGCCGCTCAAAAAAAAATTTAAGAAATGAAAATGTTAGGGCCTGAAAATGGAAAGGGACTGAAAGTCCCTTTCCATTTTCCCTTTCCCTTTCCCTGAAAGTCCCTTTTCCTGCCAGGACATTCCAAAGGATGCAAGATGAAACGGGATGAAAATTCGATGGAATAGAAAGATGAGAAGCAGGAAACGTATATGGGGGGGGGGAGGCTGGAACAGCAGGAAAGGAGAGAGAGAGAGAGGCGGGCAGGTATGGAATCATCACAGACAATGTAATCTTACTAAAGAGTTCCCCCTCCCCCCCTCCGCCCGCCATTGTGATAGGAGAAACTAGCATAAAGCCAGCGCGGGAATCTGATCTCATTGATATTGCAATTTCTGTGACGGACGAGACGTCTAGAGCTGCCGCATCGGCCGACATACGGTGTATAACAGGTGGGGGCCGTCACATGTCCATTACGGTCACCTGTTCTTTGGGGAGAGGGGGGTGCCCCAGGCTGCTCCCCCTTGCCCCACTGTTGCCTCCCCTCATATTGACTGGATGTTCTCTGTTTCTCCGTGCTACTTGCCCCGCTCCTGTGCCAGGTAAGTTACGGGCCCACCATAGCCCGTGCTACTTAGAACTTGTTCCGAGTAGCTGAAACGACAACAACTCTGTTTCTCTATTTGTCCTCTCCTCTCTATCTCTTCCCTAGGCTTATCTTTCCCCCTTCCTTTTCATCCTAGTTCTAATTTATTCTTTGGACTGATCGGTAGAGCGAATGGCCCCGTTTCTTGGCGGGTCATTGGGCCCCGTTGGGTCCCAGTGGATGGACGTCCTTTCTTTTCTCTCTTTCCCCCTATCCCAGCTTCCATCTCGTCCTTGTATCCCTTCCATGGGCTAGTCATACTGGCTGAGCGCTTGCTCTAAGTAATTTCCTTCCTTCTTGCCTATTCCTTTCCCCGTCTCTCTCTGAGCACTCTTCTTCCATTCCTTTTGGATTAAACGAGGCCAGTGCATTGCTAAGTGACGCCAGAAAACTGCAGGACGCTGGGGCAGTGTGTGTATGTGCCACTAAATGCAAATTTTAAGCAGATCCGTTAGTCACCGAGACGTTTGCGTTGAAGCATAAGACGAGCAAAAGAGCGCGCGAACAACAGAACACACACACACACACACACACACACACACACACACACACACACACACACACACACACACACACACACACACACACACACACACACACACACACACACAGGCACAGAGGAACATTCTGCGCAATTCTGAAATTCACAGACTGCGCGACGCTCATGCAAGGCCGAGGCGACCAGAAGTGTTGTCGACTTTACTGATGAAGGCGCGAAATGGCGCGCCTAGTGGAGGGGGGGACTTTTCTAACGGGGAAAATGGGCCGGAATATCCCGGTGGGAACATTAATGAAATTGACGGCGTTCACGGCCTCAAAAACCCGCAGCTCTGAGGACACTGGAGACGCCCTCTCGCTCCTCTGAACAGCCCCACCAGACGAACTTATAATGCCCCAGGAAGCTTAATCTCAATATTACATTTGAATACTTCATGTGAATATTGTACGGGGAATATTGCATTTGAGGATTGCACGCTAATATTGTATCCTAGAATATTGTACAGGTAGATTGCATTTCAATATTGTATGGGGTATTGCATTTCAGTATTGCATGAAGGAACGGCACTTAAGGAGAGCTTGGAGAAGGGCGTACAAGCGAATGTTGTAGCTCACTAAATCAATGTCGCTGGGGCTTTTTAAATAATGAAATACATTTCGTGAACTTTATACAAAAAGAAGAACAATTACTGCTGTTTATTCAAAGGATTAATTACGTCAGCTGACATGCATGCGTTTAATTGAAGAAAATGGGTTGCGGCGTCTCTTTGTTAAGGGAGACTGCGGAATCTGTCCATAAAATACCAATACCTCGCTCTGTCCTTAATTCTGTCCTTAGTTGTGTCCTTAGCTCTGTCCTTATTTCTGACCTTCTGTATTTACGTTTGTCATTAACTCTGCCATTATCCCCGTCCTTAACTTGAGCGCTCTCACGCGCGCACGCGCATACACACACACACACACACACACACACACACACACACACACACACACACACACACACACACACACACACACACACACACACACACACACACACACACACACACACACTCACACACACACACACACACACACACACACACACACACACACACACACACACACACACACTCACCACACACACACACACACCACTAGCGAAGACAAAGAAGAGGGTTCAGTACATGAAGGGATATATATATATATATATATATATATATATATATATATATATATATATATATATATATATATATGCACAGTAAAGATGGGAAGCATAACAATAATGGACTTGAGAAACCCGGAGGAAGACGATAACAGA